ATCTTAAATTTAACAGTAGGAGGAGATTATACTGTTAAATGACCACGAAAAATTCGTAACTCTTTCATACGGACTCCGTTTTCGTTTTTCTTTTTATCGTTGACTTCCTATTAATGAGATTTTCAAATCTCATTTAGGTCGCGTAGGCCAAAAACCGCTCGATCTAAAATTCGAGTTTCGGGTCGTGCACTTCTATGCCAAATCTTAGAAAATTCATAACTTCCTGATACAAAGTCAGATTTGGGTGTTCTTTTTATGCACGCTCTCGGTTTAACGTATACTACAACTTTTGTTTAGATCACTAAGGCCAAAAAGTCCTCTATCGTAAATTCACTATTTACGTCTCCCGGTGCCGTGCCGGTTTTGCCGTAAAACTTCGACGGGCCATAACTTCTTCGTTATAACTCAGTTTTCGGCGTTTTTTATATGTACGGAAACCTTGTAACATATACTACCACTTGCTTAAGATTAATCCTTATAAATAATATTCCATCAATAACTCATTTTTGATGCTTATTGTCTCTAAATTGACTAGCCCGAATGTGCGGGCGTTACACCCAATAAAGCCCTAATTGACCTAAAAGCCCAACCATTTGATAAATGGGCTAGTACTTGGGTTGGAAACCCTAATTAGGGTTTGGAAAACCCTAATGCCTTGAAACCTAATTTTGGGATTTATCGGACCGCACAGGAATTATTTATTAAAACAAAAATAATAATTGATAATCAGGTGCAAATTAACCTAAGGCAATATTAGACTTAATGGATTAAGTCCTTAATGGGTTAAGTAGGAACACTGGACCCTAATCATCATTTCATGTGAAAACCCTAATTTCACTTGGGCCTTGATTTGGGCCTTCCTATTGGGCCTTGGTAATTGGACTATTGATGGGCTATCCAAGAACAAGTAAAATGGACCAAAATAATTGGATGAGTTTTAGGGTAAGGCCCGTGTGAAGGACTTGGGCCCAATTTGGAAAACTAGGCCATAGGTGGGCCATAACTGGGCCTTGATGATTATGTGATATTGGGCCATGGGAATACCAAGAGTTTGGACTAGAATAATTGGATGGGCCTTAAGGAAAGACCATGTAGAGGTCTGGGCCCAATTTAGAAAATTGGGCCATATGTTGGGCCTTGGCCCATTACTTGACTATTGGGCTTTTAGAGTGTGAGTTGGACCTTGGGCTTGGAACCTAATTATTAATTGGGGATTGTTTGATGTTGGCAGTTCAGGAATCTGTCAATCAGCAGCTGGAGTTTTATCCGCGGGACTTCAGCAGTGCCAGGTAAGCTACCTCACTATACTAAGGGGTCTAAGGCACCAATGCCGACCCATTGGATATGATATCCTAGCAGTTGGTAGTATGTTGAGTATGAGTTAGTGTTGCATGCTAGTTGCTATGCCAGTTAGGTAGATCTGTAGGACTACCTGTATTATTGTTATGTGATTACTTGTATGCGCATTAGTTTTGTTATACGTCGACATATTATGTGGGGTGGGTTGAGGTGATGCTGCTCCGTGCGGAAACCAACAAACCCGGGAGCATTCCAGATACGAGCTGAGGGCCAGGTGGGGCATGCCAGACTCGTACTGTGGGCTCGGGAGCATTCCAGATACGAGATGAGGTCCAGGTGGGGCATACCAGACTCGTAATGTGGGCTTGGTGACAATCCAGATGTGAGATGTGGGCCCGGAAGGCAATCCAGACTCACACTGTGGGCCCAGGAGTAATCCAGTTGTAAAGCTGTGGACCCAGTACATGCTGTTATTTGTATATGTGTTATGTGCAGTGTATCGGTATTTTGGGGGAACTCACTAAGCCTCGGGCTTACAGTTTCAGTTTATTGTTTTAGGTACATCAGATGATCGCGGGAAGGCAAAGGTGTGATCGTACAGCTCCACACTTTTTATGACTATGTTTCTGGGATACTCTGATATAGAACTGTTTTGAAAACAAGTTGGTAATAACTGTTGGTTTCTAAATGTTTTAAAAAGTTTAAATTTGGCCTGATTTTTATGGGTGTTACAATGACACATTTATTTTGGGTTATTCAGATGCTGATTGGGCTAGATGTATAGAAACCCGAAGGTCCACATATGGTTACTCCATTTTTCTTGGGGGTAATCTAGTTTCGTGGAGTGCTAAAAAGCAGCCTACAATTACTCGTTCAAGCTGTGAGTCGGAATATTAGGCAATGGCAAACACCGCTGCTGAAATCGTTTGGGTTACTCACTTGTTGCACGAACTTCATGCTTTACCGCCTGATCGCCCAACTCTATTATGTGACAACCGTAGTGCTCTATTCCTAAGCCAAAATCTGGTGTCTCATAAACGGGCAAAACATATTGATATTGATTATCACTTTATTCGTGAGCTCATTTCATCTGGTAGATTGTATACTAAATTTGTTCCTACCAAGCTTCAGGTGGCTGATATCTTCACAAAAAGTCTTTCACGTCCACAATTTGAATTCTTTCGAGCTATGCTTCATCTTGGACCAACACCGTCTCGCTTGCGGGGGGATATCAGGAATAAATCAACAGAATCAATTATATTAAAATAGTTGATTTATTTTTTCTTGTAAATTATTCTCTGTATATCTTCCTGTAATAACTTATTTTCGTTAATATATATTCAAATCCTCCCATATTTGTGAGGTATCCCTTTCAATTATCACATGTTTTTTTAATTTATATTTTTGAGCAAATTATATTAAATGTTAGATTGAAAGGACAAAGTTGTAATAAAAAATGAAACTTAGATGTTATAATTCAACAATGAGGATGGCTTAGACTAATCAAGCATTATACTCTAACTAAAAAAAACAAGTTTTGAACTAAATTTGAGTTGACACATATAAAGTTCAAGCGTGCTCAAGAAGATTGCACATTGTTTATAACACATCAACAATGTATGTTATGACTCCGTATATTGAATCCAACATTATTATTAGTTAAAATATGAGTTTATTGTCATTTCATATTTTTTTTTCTGTTATTGTCACGTACATAAGACTTATCCATCGTCTCAAAAATAAATTATTTGCATATATGGAATGATCCGGTCTAGCCTTGAGATTTAAACCACTCCAATCTACGTCAACAATATATTTAAAACATTTTTTTTTCAAATTATTAAAAGTCCAATAATAGCAACACACTTTCAAAAGTACAATGATAATTTTTTTATAGGGACAATTTATGTGGCTTTATCTTACATTATAACATTGTCCATTAATGGCGGCTAATATTTTTTTTCAAACATTTATGTTCAACAAATAATTAACATGGACATTCCTGGAAAATTATTTTTGTGATGAAAATATTGCCTGGGGATTATTTCTATCTTTTTCAAACTTTTGTCTGTGGGATTATAATTTATTGTTTTATACTATGTCTAACATTGATTGGGTTATAACAAAAATAATTAAAGTCAAATTATTTTCATAAAAAAAATCGAAATTGTTTCATCTAATAAATATATATCTTTTCATCTTCATAAACATATCTCCCTATACTAATAAAAAAATAGTTTTTTTGCTATGTGACACATTATTAGACATCCTAATTAGTGCATGTCACTTGTCAACCTATTGATTCTCCATTTTAAATTTTAAATTTTAAATTTCTCATTCTAATTACATTAAAATAAAATATTAAGGACATGTTTGATAAAACTAGCTGGTAGCCGTAGCTTGTAGCGAGTAGCGAGTAGCTTATATCATGTAGCGTTTTGTTAAACGCTACATGAAGTAATATTTGGATTTGGAGCGTTTTGTTTAAGCTAAACGTTAGAAGTTTGTAGTGCCAAACAATGTTTTCTATTCAAAAAATAACGTTTTGTCAAACGTTAGAAGCTAGAAGCTTTTAAAGAACACACCCAAAATAAAATTAATACAAACTATAAGGTGATATAACTTCACATATTTATTTGAATCAACGAATATAATTTTATATAACTAAAAAAAATATCTCTTAATTAATAATTTATTTAAAATAATTAATTAATAATTTTGAATTTTTATTATGAACGTTTAATTAATTTTGTAACCGTGATTCTCACGCGTTATAAACTAGTTTATATAAAAGAACTCATTAAAAACGACAAACAGTTAGGTAAACGATTTAGATAGGACATATTGGAGCAACAATGACTAAATTTCTTTTATTTGTCTACTTTTTAGCAACCTACTTACATGAGAATTTTTTTATATTTCATAAAACAAGCAACAAATTCCAACTTACTTGCATTTTTTTTGGCATTTAACTCATATAAGTTTGCAACATACTCCATATTCTATCTTTTTGACTAAATTTCCATAGTAATGATGCTCATGTGTGCTCTCATTTTCTTTATTATAGTTTTAAACATCATTTTTCTGAGAAGACAATATTTTATCGAGTCTTCTTATGTGTAGATATATGTGATTTTTTATCAAAGAATTTATTGATGAGTTGCAATGATTTCCATTATTGTTTTATAATAAAAATTTGCATTTAATGGCCGAGCCATGAATTTTAATTATAAGAATACAAACATGCTCGATATTCAAAAACTATGTAATATTATTATTATTTTGTCCAAACATAAATTAATGATCTATGTTTTTGTTATTATTTACATTATTAAAATTATCATATAGTAAATGTACTTTATACTTTATATTTATATCAAATGTATAAAAATAATAATTTGTAAATTTATGACTAACGATTAGGTTTTTTTTTGCAGTATTTATATTATTTTATTGTGTCACCCGTATAGTGGTTATAACCTAATAAAACTATAACAAAATCAAAAGATAAGAGCCTCCGAATGAAAAAAAAAAAAAAAAATAGAGACGAAATTTTAGTAATTTACTATATATTGTATTTTATTTATAACGTTTGCCACTGACCCTTTCGTTTTTGGGCAATATCCATGTCTACCCATCTCTTTCGCGTCAATTGTTTTGTGCAGTCAAATATATAAACGAACCAGGACTATAGTTCTTGATATTCTATTTAGTCAGTAAGAGGGGTTTTCTCTCCCCCTTTTCTCTCTCTTTCTTGAGGATCTTGTCTTCTACTCAATAATATTCTGGAATTTTCCATAAATCGTTAAAAAGGATTCAAAAGAGAGAACGAAAAAGCCCAAATACATATTATATGAAGATCTAACACTTTGTTTTCTTGAGCTTTTTGCTTAAGGAATATTTGATCGAAGAAAAATGTCTCAAGCTAATTGGGAAGCTGATAAAATGTAAGCCTTTTTTTGTCCTAATCTTGATTTTTTTTCTAGATTTGTGTTGTGGGTATCTTTTAATTTTCGTTGATCAATCATTAAGACAAGTGTTCTAGCAGTCTTATGTTGTGCTTTTCGTCTTTTGCCCCTTTAGCTATTTTAGGGTTTGTGCGCCTATCTTTTTTTCTCTTTTGCTTTTATCAATTTTGTTCTATTTAGCAAGTTGGGTTTACTTGATAGATTCACGAATCACTATTGCCACATTTTCAAGATGGAGAAAAGAAACAATTTTCCAATTTAGGTCCTTTTATGACTTCAAAGTTTTTTTTTTTTGGGTACTTAAATTTATTCATTTATTGTCTTCATGATGCATCTAATCTAGTGTCCAAAGCTCAAAATGTTTCTCCTTTTTGTTTCTACTAACTTTTTTCAATTGGGTATCTGTTAATTCCATTTCTTAGTCGGTATTTCAGTAGACTTTGATTTATATTCTGCGTACTTGACCTGAATTACCTTTTATTTGTGTAAAGATTCAAACTTTATGTAGTTATTTGACTAAATTCATATATTTTTTTCCGATTTAATTAACAGGTTAGATGTTTATATACATGACTATTTGGTAAAGAGGGATTTAAAAGCCTCTGCTCAGGCATTTCAAGCTGAAGGAAAAGTCTCATCTGATCCTGTTGGTATGAATCAATTGCAAAGATTATGTAAAATAAGAAACATCTTTTGTAGTTTTTTTATGTACATTTTATCAAATTGTTTATTTTTTTTTCATAAATTCTAGCTATCGATGCCCCTGGTGGCTTTCTATTCGAATGGTGGTCTGTATTTTGGGACATATTTATTGCAAGAACTAATGAGAAGCACTCAGAAGTTGCAGCTTCCTATATTGAGGTCAGTTTAAGCTCTCATACTTTTTATCTTTTTTCTAAATCCATCCATTTTTTGTAGTTAATAGAAGTGATTAAATTCCACTAATGTACTACTTATAATGGTTACAATACTTTGTTATATTGCGTATTATTTTTTTAAGTGCACTATACACAAAATAATCTTTAGTAGTTAAAACCATTATACTTTTTTTCTTTTTACTGTTTAAAAACTGTTTTTCTTTCATTATTTAACCTTTTATCACATTCTTTCCATAATTCAAGACACAGTTAATCAAAGCAAGGGAGCAACAACAACAACAGCAACAACAACAACCACAACAATCGCCTCATCCACAACAACAACAACAACAGCAACATCAACAAATGCAAATGCAACAACTTATATTGCAACGCCAGGCCCAACAAGCCCAACAGGCCCAACAACAACAACAACAACAACAACAACAACAACAACAACAACAACAACACCAACAACAGCAACAACAACAACACCAGCAACAACAACAACAACACCAACAACACCAACAACAACAACAACAAACAACAACAAAGGAGAGATGGGGCCCACTTACTAAATGGGGCTTCAAATGGGCTTGTGGGAAATGATCCACTTATGAGACAAAATCCAGGAACTGCTAATGCCATGGCTACAAAGATGTATGAGGAGAATTTGAAAGTGCCACTTTCTAGGGATTCTTTAGATGATGCAGCTATGAAGGTAGATCTTTTATTCTTTCTTTTAAGTTTTTTGAGGCTAAAGTGAGTAACTTTTAGTGTTATCAATATGGATTGTTAAAAATCTTTAACAACAAATAGTGTTTGGTTGTGGTTTTTGGAAGTGACTATTGGATTGTCAGTTTCTAGTTTTAGTTCATGTAATTACTTAGGGGACAAATAATTAGATTTATACTTGTTACAAGCCTACAAGAAAACTTATTAAAGGGTAGAGTAACTTAATTTCATATATTACCTTCTTAAATGATCATAATGATTCAAATATTTGATTATGATTATTCACTATCACATAATCTCTATCAAAACACACATAGGTTAACCGTTTACTTTTTAGGTCAAAGCTCTAATGTTACCATTGTGATTTGTTAAAATTCCTCAACAATTATGATGATGGAATTTAATTTGTTATAAAATCCATACAACTCTTGAGAATTGGTAAATTAGGATGTTTATAAGGGTTTTTTAAGGTAATGTAATTGTGCTTATGGTTATTTAATCATTTAGGGTTCAAATAATCGTTTTTTTTACTTGCTATATCAAAACTGATTAAAGATTGCATTTATGTATTACTTCCCTACATAATCATAAATACGTTAAACACGTTATACTATTGAGTAACTATCAAGTTTCTACTTTTTCAATATTCACATCCTCAACAAGAAATATGTTAATGGCATTATAGTTTATGACAACATACTACGGAAATATTGTCTACTTTAGTTTGTTATAAAATTGCTGAGCCTGAAGTCATAATTAGTCTTTATTCTGTTGACTGTTGAATTTCAAATCTTGAAATATTTAACAATAATTTTGTTAATGTTATATAATTATGTGACAACATGGTAGACCTAGAAAGAAGGTAGTGTTCAATTTGTTTCAAAATCTATATCAATCTTTTCATAAAAGTAGTCCATATAAAGAAAAGCTTTAAATGTACGTGTTGTTGTTGAAACATTGAGAGTATTAAATATCTTTGCATGCTATCTGAAATATTTTATTTTTTGTTTTCTTTTTTCATTTTTGATTGTTCAGCAAAGATATGGTGAGAATGTTGGCCAACTTTTGGACCCAAAACATGCATCGATTTTGAAATCAGCTGCAGCTGGACAACCTTCAGGGTAATGTTTTTTCATATTGTCCCAAAAACATCTGAAAAAGAAAAAAAACATAATTTGTAGCAAGTTTTATATTGCAATTTTCATAGAAACATCAAACAACGAGAACTTTTAGTTATAAATCATCATAAATCCATGCGTTTTCATACTTACACCATGTTTCCTTAAACGGAAACCCTATTATTTATTTTGGATGCATTACTTTCATAATAGAAAAAATTCATCATAGCATTTATTTGTAACATAGAATTTGGAACCAATTTTTTTTCCAGGCAAGTGTTGCATGGAACATCTGGAAGCATGTCTCCTCAAGTTCAAGGTCGAAATCAACAGCTTCCAGGATCTGCACCAGTGAGTAATCTTACACCCAATGACCAAAAATAGAAACCATAAACTTGTTAATGATTTTATAAAATGAGTGTAATAAAATGAAATGCTTGTTAATGAATTTATAAAATGAGCACATTTTGACCTCTAAAGTCTCGTATCTTTATGGCATAAAGATACAAGACTTTAGAGGTCAAAATGTGCTCATTTTATAAAATCATTAACAAGTATTTCATTTCATTACACTGCATAAAAAAGCACATAGATTGTAAAGTATACATTGATTCTTTTGGTGTTAGATCTTTTAGTGCTATTAATTAGTGATATGATCTGATTTGGAAATAATTAGGAGATAAAGACGGAGATGAATCCAATATTGAACCCCCGAGCTGCGGGCCCCGAAGTGTCATTGATTGGAATTCCTGGTAATGTTTTTACACATTTACAAATAAAGACACCCATTGAATGTTTTTTGGACTTAAACAAGATTCAATCAAATGATGCTTTAACTATCAATTCATTTAACCAAAATTCGATTTTACAGGATCAAATCAAGGTGGTAACAACTTGACATTGAAAGGATGGCCTCTCACGGTGAGTTCATGGATCATTTGTTACACTAGAATGGCATGACAAGCTTTCTAGGGCTATTTTTTATGATGAGGATCACAAGGGCATTTACGTCTTTTGCACAAACAAGAGATCGATAGCGAGTCTACGCCTTGCCTTGTTCATCTTTTCGGATGAGACAAAAAATTTGTAGATTTTGTCCCGTTGACATTAGTCTCAGTCCCAGTCCAATGCATGACACAGTACAATTTGTTTTGTCCTGTGTCATGCAGGACAAGACATCACATAACATAACACAACCGTGTGTACTGTGTTTGGCATGCATTGTACCGAGACTAAATAAGGGTAATGTCAGTGTGACAAAAGACATAAATGCCCTCGACCTCTTGTGTGTGCAAAAAGACATAAATGCCCTTATCATCTTCATCCTCGAAAAAAGCCCTAGAAAGCTTGTCCTGTCCTGTGTAACAAACACAACTTTAATGACTTGTCATAGTAAAATACAACCCATCAACAAATTCCATTTAAAAAATTTCCAAATTTTGCAAAAAGACATAAATGACCTTGTCATCCTCATCTTCGAAAAAAGCCCTAGAAAGCTTGTCCTGTCCTGTCATGTGTAATAAACACAACTGTAATGACTTGTAATCGTAAAATACAACCAACGAACAAATTCCATTTGTAAAAATTTCCAATTTTTGTAAAATTTTGCGATATTTTCTTCAATGGGGTATGATAGGGTTTGGATCAACTGCGGTCTGGTCTACTGCAGCAACAGAAGTCATACATGCAGGGTTCACAGCCTCTTCATCAGCTACAAATGCTAACACCACAGCATCAGCAACAGCTTTTATTGGCACAACAAAACATGACATCACAATCTGCTAATGATGAAAGCAGAAGGCTGAGAATGCTTCTTGGCAATCGAAGCATGAGCATGGGGGGTAAAGATGGTATTTCTAATTCGGTTGGTGATGTTGTTCCAAATCTTGGATCACCTATGCCTGTTCTACCTCGTGGTGATCAAGATATGTTGCTCAAGGTGCCTTTTTTTCTTTTCTTTTCTTATACTCTCTATATTTACCTTTTAACTTTGGAGTTTTGATGATTTGATAGTTTTAAAAAACATATTTAATCCATTTCTAAACAAATCAGGCATTTTGTTACTTGGGTATGTAAGAATAAAGCATGATATCTTTAAACAACTAAAAAATACGCCTTTTTTGTAGTTAAAAATGGCTCAGCTGCAGCAGCAACAGCAACAACAACAGCAGCAAAATGGTAACCCACAACAGCAACAGCAGCAGCAACAACAACATCTTCAGCATTCACTCTCTGCTCCTTTAATTCAAAATTCAAATTTAAATCTTCAACAAGAAAAGATAATGGGGACAAGTAGTGTAACAGGAGATGGGAGCATGTCAAATTCCTTTCGTGGAAATGATCAGGTTACTCCTTTTACCAATATAGAAATATAATTATGTTGTGATTAAAAGCTATATAATATAAGGATGCGACCAATATGTGTAAAAAATAAGAATAGATTTATTCGTGTGATATGGTTTGTAATATGTTCCAAGTCTTTAAAATCCAGACTGGAAGAAAGAGAAAGCAACCGGTGTCTTCCTCGGGGCCCGCAAACAGTTCTGGAACTGCAAACACTGCGGGCCCCTCACCGAGCTCTGCACCTTCAACTCCATCAACTCATACACCTGGAGACGTGATCTCAATGCCTAATTTGCCACATAACACAACTTCTTCAAAGCCTATGATGATGTTTGGCACCGATGGTCCAACCACTCTTACCTCCCCTTCAAATCAATTGGTGAGGGCATTTTCGTCTTTTGTATCTTGTACAAAAATACAGAGATTTTATTGCACGAACAAAAGATAGTTGCAATTTTTGTCACATTGACATGAGTATAAAGAAATTAGGGCTTTAAGGTGAATTTGCCTTTTAGTTCTTATTGGCAATATAATAAATTTTGCAGTGGGATGATAAGGACATTGTGCAGGCTGACATGGATCGTTTTGTAGAGGATGGATCTCTTGATGATAATGTTGAGTCTTTTTTATCTCATGATGATACGGATCCAAGGGATCCAGTTGGGCGTGGTATGGATGTAAGCAAAGGTGAGTCACCTGGTATATTTTCTATCTATCACTCTTTCTTTTCACTTTATAATACATAAAGTACCACTTCATTAATACTTAATTAAAGAAAGAAACATTTATTTTTAATCTGTTGTTAGAGTTTACATTTACGGAAGTGAATTCTGTTCGTGCGAGTGCAAGTAAAGTGGTGTGTTGCCACTTCTCATCAGATGGGAAACTTCTTGCAAGTGGTGGACATGATAAAAAGGTAAATTACCAAAATCCATTAAGTTATATAGCTACAATTGGGTAGATATTTATTTCAAAAGTTTAATGTCATAATAAGATATTTTTTTTCAGGCTGTATTGTGGTATACTGATTCATTAAAGCCAAAGACAACTCTTGAAGAACATTCATCATTGATCACGGATGTGAGATTCAGCCCAAGCATGCCACGCCTTGCCACCTCATCTTTTGATAAAACTGTTCGTGTTTGGGATGCTGATAATGTTAGTTACTTCACCTTTTTTATACTCATTCAAAATATAGAAAAACACACATATTTATTTTGAGTTTAAATTACAGCCTGATTTTTCACTACGTACATTTATCGGGCATTCTGCATCAGTGATGTCATTAGACTTCCACCCAAATAAAGATGACCTCATCTGCTCGTGTGATGGGGATGGCGAAATAAGATATTGGAGCATAAATAATGGCAGCTGTTCACGTGTATTCAAGGTAACAAAAAAAAAACTCACAACTATCATATGCATATATATATATATATATATATATATAATTCTTCTTCATGTTTTTTAAATTTTCAATATTATTATTATTATTATTATTTGTATATTTATTAATTTTATGGATCAGGGTGGGACGGCTCAAGTGAGATTCCAGCCGCGCCACGGAAGATATCTTGCAGCAGCGGCGGAAAATATCGTGTCGATACTGGACGTTGAGACACAAGCGTGTCGACATTCATTACAGGTTCTTTTATTTGTTTACTAGGTGTAAGACCCGTGTAATACACGAGTTTATTAAAAATAAAAGTTTAATATAAAATTATAAGCATTATATAATTTTTAATGTAATAGTTTTATATAAATACAAATGATATAATGAATAAAGTAATTAATTTAATAAATATTGTAGGAGATTTTAACAAGAAGGAAAGAAACACTTAAAAACATTTATTATGATATTTATTATAAGTGGATTTTAAATTTAAAAAAATGAAAAATACAAAAAAATGACAAGTGGAAAAAAAATAATTCAAAAAATCCTAGAAAATGACACGTGTCAAATTCAATAAGAACATGACATTTGGCAAAAATGATTTTCATTTATTAGGTTAGATATTTATAGCAATGAGATCAGGATGCTATTATATATAATACAAAAAAAAATAAGTTGTCATTTCTTGCATTTTGTTGTACATCTATGATGATTTTTTTGGTTGGGATATTGCATATGTAGGGGCATACAAAACCGATCCATTCGGTTTGCTGGGACCCAAAGGGCGAGTATTTGGCGTCTGTTAGTGAAGACTCGGTGAGAGTTTGGTCCCTTATGGCTGGAAATGAAGGAGAGTGTATACATGATCTCAGCTGTAATGGAAATAAGTTTCATTCTTGTGTTTTTCATCCCAGTTATGCTTCTTTATTGGTCATTGGCTGTTACCAGGTCAGCTTTCAATCTGTTAATTTGTTGTAACAAACTCAACATCCCTAAACCCCCTATTAATGCATAATGCATTTTTTTTTTTTTTTTTAAATATATGCAGTCTTTGGAGCTATGGAACATGTCAGAGAACAAGACAATGACACTGTCAGCTCACGAAGGATTAATTGCGGGTTTGGCATTGTCAACAGTTACAGGTTTGGTGGCTTCAGCTAGCCATGATAAGATTGTTAAACTTTGGAAATGAAAAAAAAAATACAGAAAGTTGTTGTGATTCGATGTGTTGTACACCCACCACTCGAGACCAAATTCTGTTTTTTTCGTTTCAAGTGTTGTCAAATGATGTAGTTTGTGTTGCTTACTGGTCTAATGTTGTTGTGTATTGTTTGTTTTCTAGCCATGTTGGTTTTTTTTTTAATCTAATTGTTGTAACTTTTATTAGTTTATAGTTGTTTGTTCCTGTTGCAATTAAGTTTGGACTAATGGATTTTGTTAGACTCCTGTCAAATTCGTTTACGAACATAGGTGACAAGCTCTACAAGTATGATTACCATTGAACTCATAACTTTCACTTTCACAATGGGGTATTAATGTTTATAGTTTTTTGGGACAACTTTACCCTCTTTTCTTTTAGTATCAGATTTTTAACACTCTTTTCTTAAAATGAAAACCGGGTTTTCAACTTAGAGATTCAAGTACACCTTTATAAATGTGCCTTGTAACCATTTTATTTTACCAATAAAATTTATTATTAACTTTATAAAGTCAAAATTGCGAAAATGGTCCCTGTGGTTTGTCAATTTCCTTAGGTAAGGTCCAAAAAAAAGTTTATTAGCAAAAAAGGTCATTATTTGGTGGTTTTGTTGTGATTTTGGTCCATACCTCGTTAAGTTTAACAGCATGCCTGTTAACTTTTGGCAAATGACAGATTTACCCCTGGGACCATTTATGTAGTTTTATATTTTTACCAAACTATAAGGACCAATTATGCAATTTTTCTTTTTCATTTTATTGAATTAGTGCATATTAATTCTTGCCAAAATTGCAAAAATGGTCTCTGTGATTGACAAATTTTTGTGCTTTTGGTCCAAAACGAAATGTTGGTGCAACACTAGTCCAAAATTTGATTTTTCTATTGTTTTTGGTCCCTATTAACGTAAAAGGACTATTATACCCTTATATTTGTTTTTTTAATTTCTTTTATATTTATTCAAATATTTTTTATTAATTAAAATTGAGAAAAAGTCTCTCTTTCTTTCTCTCTCTCTCTCTCTCTCTCTCTCTCTCTCTCTCTCTCTCTCTCTCTCTCTCTCTCTCTCTCTCTCTCTCTCTCTCTCTCTCTCTGAAACGCATAATGAGAGGTGACATGCTTCTTAGCTCTTCATTCATCCTCCATCTTCACTCTTTCAATCAAACCCCCATATTCACTCTTTCCATTGATTTTGAAACCCAACGGATCTGTGATGTTTTTCCCCAAACACACACACACATGAGAAATTTGCCAGAAAATCATAACACACACATACACACATCACTCCTCTGTCGAAGCTGCAATCGGGGCTAGATTTTGCAGAATGGATTCGGCCACCACCATCAATCTCGTATACCATCACCGTTCTACACTACCATCTGTCGCAATTAGGAAACCCTAACCCTCAAAAATGAAAACCCTAGACCTAAAAAATGTAGATCGGAACCACCGAATTCGAGTTGGGATCAGGCCTCGAGTTATACGAAGATGAAGCGGATGTGGAACCTGATGAAGAAGAAGGAGAATGTTTTGCTTTTTTCGTCAGAGGGTGAATCGCGTTCCCGGGTATCGCTTGCAGATTGTCCACAAAAACAGAGGTTAAACCTGGCGAGGGAGCAGCGACGTCGGCGCTAGCTGAGCTGGTGTTCATAAACGAATCGTCAATCATTGGTGGTCCAGTTGTGGGATTAAGCTCACAAATCATGGATTCAAGCCACGATGAGAGATCAGAAGGATTATAATGAACGGAATCGGAAGCAATTTATCTCAAGGATGTGTGTCGGGAGGGTATTTGTGCTCTCCCTAGTGATGATCACCAGTGCTTTTGGCTTGTTTTTTGAACCAGGAGGGCGACCCCGTGGTCGGCGACCTACTATATCCCCACTACCGTTGCCGAAGCCAGGAGTTTGTTGGTTGTTGTCATCGTCAGAATCGGGAGGGATTTAGAGGTGAAGGTTAGGGTGATGTTGTAGGTTTTGAAGGGAGAAAGGGGAATAGAGGAAATTTATGTTTAAAAAACAGGAAGATGGGGTATTTTGAGAGAGAGAGAGAGAGAGAGAGAGAGAGAGAGAGAGAGAGAGAGAGAGAGAGAGAGAGAGAGATGTTTTTTTTAATTAAAATAATAAGAACTCAATTAAAAAAATTAAAAAAACAATTAGTTAAGGGCATAATCGTCATTTTAGGTAGGATATGGACCAAAACCACAAAAAATGATAACCATAAGGACTAAAACTACACAAGATATCCAATTTTGGACCAGTCGTGCACCAACATTTCGTTTTGGACCAAAATCACATAAATTTGCCAACCATAGGGACCATTTTTGCAATTTTGTCTTAATTCTTTTAATTACTTTTTTAAACCATTGTATTATTTTTTTATTCGATTATTATATATTAATAAATATTATTTTTAATATATTATATTTATATATTAATAAATATTACTTTTTTGGATTACTAATTTTTTTGAATTTCTTCTTTATTGCATTAATTCTTTTTATTGGATTATTATATATTAATAAATATTATTTTTAACATATAAATTTATCTATTAGTAAGTGTTACTTTATTGGATTATTAATTTCGTTTAATTAATTTTTTTTAATTTTTTTATTGCGTTAATTCTTTTTATTGGATTATTAATTTAAATTTATTATTTTTATCGGGCCGTCTATTGCGTTAATTTATTATTTCTATTGCGTTAATTCTTTTTATCGTGTCGTCTCTATTTCTTTTTATCGTGTCGTCTCTATCGAGCCGTCTCCAACCTTGTTACTATATATAATTTCAGTAATTATTCACGAAGTGAGATCATCGTGTGTATTTTAGTTTTGTGTATTCACATGTATCTAAATTTGTTATAGATTTCAATACTTATGATTTTAACTTATGATTTTGACATATAAATTTCTCTAAAAATATTTCTACACGAAATACGCAAAAGTGTCGCGTCCCATCGTTGAAAATTGGCCGGACAACCGCCAATAACCTTCATCGATTGTTCGGCGGAAACCCCACCAACTTGTTAGACCCAATGCCGACAATAGCCACCTAAGACAACCTCATCACAATCCGTTGGAATCCTCTATATCTGCCACTAAGCTGACCATATTCTGCTATAACTATCAGGAGGTCCCGATCCAAACACTCTTGGTCAGCTCCTCCATTCGTTGCTTTTTACCACCTTGCGTCGTCGTATCATCTCGTTGGAAATCATCGATCATCGAATATAGTCGGCCATTCTCGACGAAAACTACACCAGTCGACTAGCCACACAATGTGCAATAAACCCCAGAAAGCATACAGCCTCCAGCCGACCATTCATTACAGATAACGCCTTCGATGACGACAATGTTAGATTGAGAGTTTTCAAACCACCATAGCCACTACAGGTGGTGGCAAGGTTGTAGAACTCGTTATTCGTTACTCGTTCGGCCGACCGTCGAGTAGCGAATACCTAGATTAGGTAATTCATGTAGAAATATTTTTAGGGAAATTATATATGTCAAAATCATAAGTTCATTGAAATATATAACAAATTTAGATACATGTGAATACACAAAAACTAAAATACACACGATGATCTCACTTTGTGAGTAATTACTGAAATTATATAGATATATATATATATATATATATATATATATATATATATATATATAATATATATATATATATATATATATATATATAGAGTCAAGATCAAATAAGAAGGAAATTTTTGGTAGGAAGGTAAGAACTTTTTTTTCTATATATTTTTTTCGCGAACAAACAAAATGAATCATTACATGATTCATTTGTAAGATGATCCACAAGAAAAAATTCTCAAAAAAACATGTCGATGATTCATTTATACAATGATTTTGTTGTTATTCACTAAAATTGTCATAAAAGTGAATTTTTTCTTAATTTACTTAAAAATGAATCATAAAGATGTTTTTTTGAGAATTTTTTCTTGTTAATCATCTTACAAATAAATCATCTAGTGATTCATTTTTTTTGTTCGTCAAAAAAATATGTAGAAAAAAAACTTCTTACCTTCCTACCAAAAAAAATTTCTTACCGGATCTATATATATATATATATATATATATATATATATATATATATATATATATATATATATATATAGTAACAGGGTTGGAGACAGCCCGATAGTGTTTTGTTGTGACTGAGTGATGGTGGTGGTGTTGTCCAAAATATGTTATTTTCCAAATATTTAAAATAAAGTAGGAAATGTGGGATGGGTGAGATTTTTTGGTATTTTTATTTAAAACAATAAAGAAAGAAATTAAAAGAAAATAAAAACAATTAAAAAATATTACTTATTATAAATAAAAATAATAAATTTAAATTAATAATCCAATAAAAGAAATTAACGCAATAAAAAATTAAAAAAAATAAATTAAATCGAATTAATAATCGAATAAAGTAACACTTACTAATAGACAAATATTATATGTTAAAAATAGTATTTATTAATATACAATAATCCAATAAAAAAGAATTAATGCAATAAAGAAGAAATTCAAAAAAAATTAATAAAAAAAACTAATAATAAAAAAAGTAATATTTATTAATATATAAATATAATATATTAAAAATAAAATTTATTAATATATAATAATCCAATAAAAAAATAATACAGTAAGAAAAAAGTTTAAAAAAAGTAATTAAAAGAATTAATATATAATAATTCAATAAAATGAAAAGGAAAAAATTGCATAATTGGTCCTTGTAGTTTGGTAAAAAGATAAAACTGCAGAAATGGTCCCAGGGGTAAATCTGTCATTTGCCAAAAGTTAATAGCCATGCTGTTAAACTTAAGGAGGTAGGGACCAAAACCACAACAAAACCACCAAATAAGGACCTTTTTTGCTAATAAACTTTTTTTGGACATTATCCAAAGAAATTGACAAACCACAGGGACCATTTTTGCAATTTTATCTTTTATAAATATTACTTTTATTCTCTGGATTTATTATTAACTAAATCCAATATTGAGCGTATTACAAGAGAAAATTACAAATTTAGTTATTTTTCTTAATGACTTTTTAAGTTTTAGCTAAAAAAAACCATATATAAAATATTACTATCAAAATTATAAATGGTAGCCTCACCTGCGATTTCAGCAATTTCAGCAGCTTGCTATGATTTTGGCCTATAGGCCGGCAATAATTAAACCATAAAGCTCACCTGCGATTTTAGCAATTTCAGCAGCTTGGGTTGTGATTTTGGCCTATAGACCGGTAGTAATTAAACCATAAAAA